ACCCAAGCAGAGCTGAGAGGGAAGATGCTGCTCACCGGTCTGAGTGTTCATCCATCCATGTCATAGGGAGAAAGCAGATCTGGCCACTTGGGCTCAGAGCTGCCCCAGGCCTACTTTATTCTATGGGGTACCCAGAGCCCAGACAGAATGGTCCTGGCCAGGCCCCAAGGGTTATGGAGAGAGAGTCCCAAGGGTGAGAGACCAGCGGCTCAGCCCAGCTGTGGCAGCTGACCCCTTGCAGAGAATGAATCATGCTGGAGGGTGGGGGGAGGTAGAGGATTGAGATGCTCACTATGGGGCCAGAGCAGAGTGAGAGGATTCCTGGGGCCTCCAAGGCACGCTGGGTGGGTTCAGACACAGATCACAGGTGACAGCCCCTCCACAGCTTCCGTATGGGGATCTGCGCTGGAGGCAGGAGCAGGGCTCTTGGGTACTGGTTGGTGAATCTGGCTCTGCCACCCAGGAACCCCTAAGACCTGGAGGTTGTGCTTGCCTGCTGCCTGCCTGCCCTCAGCCTTTCAGAAATTCAGAGTCCAAACAAAGACCTCTGAAATGCACCCTCTCCACTACTGTTTTCCCTTATTTTCCTGGAAATTGTGAAGAAATTTATAGTCGCAGATTCAACAAATCACTAGCAGGCTAGATAGGAGGAAAAGAAATGGGGAAATATCCAAGTTAAAACCTCAAAATAGGATCTTCTAAGTCAGGCATGGCGCCTCATGACTATAATTCTAACACTCTAGGAAGCCAAGGTGGGTGGACTGCTGGAGCTCAGGAGTTGGAGACCAGGCTGAGCAAGGAGACCCCATCTCTACAAAAATAAAAATATTTACTGGGCATGGTGGCACCTGTGGTCTCAGGCTGAGGCAGGAAGATCACTTGAGTCCAGCAATTGGAGGTTGCAGTGAGCTATGATGATGCCACTGCACTCTTCTTAGGCGACCGAGACTTTGTCTCAAACAAAAGAAAATTTGCTATTTCTTGAAATAAGACCCAGCTGAGATGGGGAGGGTAGTTACTGGGGTCCCTCCAGAACTCTGCAGGTATCTAAGCCCAGGAACCCAAGACCCACAGGAGGAGGGGCTGGTCCTGGGGTGAAAGGCAGGAGGTGGCAGGGACTTGACAAGTTGTACCTGCCCTCAAGAACAGCTTTCTTGGGCAGCGCCTGTGGCCCAATGGATAGGGCGCTGGCCCCATATACCAACAGTGGCAGATTCAAACCCAGCCCTGGCCAAACTGCAACAAAAAAAATAGCCAGGCATTGTGGCAGGTGCCTGTAGTCCCAGCTACTCCGGAGGCTGAGGCAAAAGAATCTCCTACGCCCAGGAGTTGGAATTTGCTGTGAATTGTGCGACACCACAGCACTCTACTGAGAGCAATAAAGTGAGACTTTGTCTCTACATAAAACAAACAAACAAACAAACAAAAAAAAAAAACAGCTTTCTCAGTACACTCACCTGCCCCACGGGTCCTGCAAATACCAGCCTCCTCTTCACTGATGGCCTGGTAGTACCTGGACACGCCAGACCCCCCCCCATTCACACCATTTTCTGCAGGGCCCTCTGCCACTTGGGCCTGTGCTTGTGGCACCCCAACTCCACTGCCTTCTCTGTCCCCACAAGTGGGAGTCCTATCCTCAGATGTGGTGCCTGGTGGTCCTTCCTGGCTGTGTATACCCCAGGCAACTTGGGGAATGGTCAGAAAATCAGGGGTCAGCCACTTTGTTCAAAGTTTCTCTACAAATAGGGACTGCAGGGACTGAAGGGCTAGGCCCAGGTGATATGTCCTGGCGGGCCTACCATCTGGGGCCTTTCATCTCCAGGTTGGGTGTGCCTCGGAAGCCTGGCTTCTCTGCTGGGTTTGCACACCTACCACCTATTTGCAGGCCTGAACACCAACTCCTCTTTGCCCACAGTTGCTCAGTCTGAGTTTGTGCTCCTGATGGCAGGTGTGGATGGGTGCTAGATGTTAGGTCAAATGATTGGTTCTCAGTACTGATTAGCACCATTAATCTTGAGATCTAGTGTCTTTCCTGTATGCCAGGTCCACCGTGAGCCCCCTAACAACCAGCACCACAGGGTACAGTCTCCAGTGGTCCACAGGGTGACCTGGCTCCTCCTGTGTCCCTATCTCAGGGCACTGCTCTTAGAGAGACAGGGCCCAGCACAAGGACCAAAGGATGCCTGGACCAGTGGGGTTCAGAGCCTCAGAACCAGGTCTAGGCCAGGCCACATGGAAGCCACCCAGGTCAAGATCCCTAAGCCTCAGGCAGAGGAACCTTAACCCTCAGGTCGAGCCCAGAGTAGCCCCACCCTCAGAATGACCCTGAACCTCAGAGGAGTAACTGGCATTTCAGGCCAAGCTCAGATGACCCATGAATTGGTGGCAGGGCCTGGGGTCTCTTTCTGGACCCTCACCTCCTCAAGGTCACTTTGCTGGTCAAGGACATCCCTTTAGGCCAGGGATGGTGGCTCATGCCTATAATCCTAGCACTCTGAGAGGCTGAGGCAGGTGGATCACCTGAGCTTAGGAGTTTAAGACCAGCCTGAGCCAGAGAGAGACCTTGTCTCTAAAACTAGCTGGGTGTTGTGGTGGACACCTGTAGTCCCAGCCACTTGGGAGGCTGAGGCAAGAGGATCCCATGAACCCAAGAGTTTGAGGTTGTTGTGAGCTATGACTCCAGAAGGGGACAAAGTGAAACTCTGTCTCAAAAACAAACAAACAAACAAAACTTAGTTCAACTTAGTCAAATGCCACATATTTTTGCTGTAACACATGGTACCCTGAGCACCTCCACTATGGTGTCCACCTGGGAGCATAGCCTCCTGTGTCAGGCCACAGTCCTCACCCCACACACGTGTTGCAGCTGTGTGAACAGATGTCCTCCCACGATGGACCTGTGGGCTCTGGGCATAGGCTAGAGGGAGTTTTCTCTGGCTTGACATCGTTTCTGGGGCCATCTATTTCCCTTGGCCTATGAACTACTTCAGGACACTGAGCACTTGCCCCATGCTGTGCAGGGCTGCTGCCTGGCCAGGGTGAGGCTGTCCCAGGAGGGCACCATGGAGGTGGCCCAGGACAAGGACACAGCTCCTCTGGCTGGTGGGGAACAAGGGGTAGTGACCAGCAGTACCTGGTGCTCTTTCTGCTGATCTCTCAGTGGTCTGGTTCTGGGCTCAAAGGGCCCTTTGAGACATGCCCAATCCTCTCAGATGTTCCTGCTATGCCCTAGTTGCCTGGGTTCCAAGGGGTTCCCACACTCCCAACACTATTAGGGTGAGAAGAGTGCCATGGCAAGCCCAGAATGGTCTGTTCCCAATGCTCCCAGGTGCTCTGGTCACAGGTGGGCTGGGAGCTGGTGCCCTGGCCTCCCCCATGTTCAAAGACACCTGCAGCCCCAGGGCAGGGGATGGCTGCTGAGCCTGCCCTTAGCAGGGTGGGGTATACAGGTAGCCCATCTAGAAGTGGGGGACCTCCTTGGAGACGTAGGTCAGGCACCAGGAGCAGAGCCCACCCCTTCTTTTGTGAGGAGAAAGGAAATGAGCCATAAATGACAGGGGTCCTATTACTGGGTGAAGAAGTCCAGCCACCTGTCACTGGATATGCAGAGATTAGGTGATGGACAGGTGATAGGTCCACTAAACTTTGTCAGAAGGCCCACAATTCTGGAGAACAGTGAGAGTAGCCTCTCCAAGACTTTTCAGTTCTTCCATTGCCAAAATCAGGTAAAGGTTCAAAGTAAGTACTACATTAACTCTTATTTTAAATAATAATCAGTACAACTCAGTGACAATCTATTACATTTCCAATTCAAAAGTCAATTTCCTAAATCAATCTTCCTAAATTATTCAAGATGGGCATCTTTAAGCTAAATTTACAAAACAATAATGGGAACCTGGAGGTGATAGGCCCGGAACAGCTGTGTCAGGTCCACCGCAGCCCAACAACCTCCATCTTAATCTCACTACATGTGCTTTCACTCCTTGGCAGAAGTGCCCTCTCCCCAAGACTGGTGACCTTCCACTGTGTGCTCTACAGTAGGAGTCCACTGGTCCATCACATTCTCATAGATGCCCCCTCAATGCCCCATCTCTGCTCTGCTGCTGTCCCCACTCTGCAGGCTGGGACCTTGGACTTTTCCCCTAGATGCACCAGTGTGTTCCTACCAGCCCCAAGGCAGCAGGAGGTTAGCAGGAAAAAAATCCAAACTCAAAAATACAGTAGAACCTCCATAACTGCCCACCTCCCTTCATGGACCACTTCCTCAAGTTGCCCTAATCCTCACAGCCTAGATGTGTACCACATGTACATGTCAGTACAGCAGGCCTGGTTTCTCATGCTGACCACCTCTGTGTGCTGACCAGCTTGTTACAGTCCCTTGGGAGGTCACTCATAGAGGTTCTTCTGTAATTTAAAGAGGTTTATTCTGAGCCAAATGTGTAGTAAGCAAATAGCCTTAAGAGGTCCTGAGAAAATGTGTCAAAGCGGCCAGGTTAGGGTTTGGTTTATATATTCATGGAGACAGAAACTACACACCAATAAATGGAAACTACATTTTGGCCCCAAAGTGGCCAAAACATCTCAGGACATTTCAAAGGGGAAGGGACTTAAGGTTATTGGTAGGATTAAAGATTCTTCGATTTGTGGCTGGGTGCTGTGGCTCACACCTGTAATCCCAACACTCTTGGAGGCTGAGGTGGGTGGATTGCCTAAGCTCATGAGTTAAGAGACCAGCCTGAGCCAGAGCAAGACCCCTGTCTCTAAAAACAGCCAGGGGTTGTGGCAGGTGCCTGTAGTCCCAACCGCATGGGAGGCTGAGGCAAGAGGATAGCTTAAACCCAAGAGTTTGAGGTTGCTGTGAGCTGTGACGCTAAAGCACTCTACCAAGGGTGACCAAGTGAGACTTTGTCTCAAAATAAATAAATAAATGTTGTTTTGTAATTGGTTAAAGAAATGAAGCTTTGTCTAAACGCTCCCAATGTTTTAAGATAAGGAAGTCTCTTAATAAGAAACCAATTATGATTTAATAAAAAATAATATAAATAAATAAATAAGAAACCAAGTCACTGGACAATTACAGAGACTCAAGTGATCTGTTAAGTAAATTGAGAACCATTAGGCAGGGTTTAACCTTTCTCTTGCATATCCTTAGGCCCTAATAGTATTGTTATAAAGAGTAACTCCAAAACGGAGGGGCAGGACACATGTCCAGCCTAACCCACCCTCCCCTAACTCCAGGTGTGGGTGCCCTTCCTGTTTCTTACCAGGACATTTTCAGTGGATTTTGGCCTCTCACAACTAGAAGGAGCTTATCGCTCTCCTTACCTTAATAACATCTGGAGCTGGGTAGGAGGGTCGGCCACCAGCCTCTGGGCTCTTCCCACCACTGCCCTCCCTGCCCCAGGTCCGAGGCTTCCTAGAAGATAGGGCCACAACCAGGGGGAGGGGGAGCCCAGGGTGGGGTGGCAGCATTGTCTCCCCCAAGAAGATGCGAGCCCTTCCCATTCCCCCACCCCACAGGCCCGTGGTCTTGGGTCCCTCAGACACTCTCCTTCTCGGTGGGGTCTCCTGGCCCCGGGCCCCTCGGGGCTGTCCCTTCTTGCGGAGTCCCGCAGCCCGGCGGAGCTGGCAAGCCGAATGGGGCGGGTCCCTCACCGGAGCCCTGGGGTCGCGCCCCCACCCCGCCCTCTCCCCGCAGTACGGCATCAAGAAGAAGGAGGAGCGCGAGGCGGAGGCGCAGGCCGCCCTGGAGGCCAGCTCGGAGGGCAGCCTGACGCGGCCCAAGAAGGCGGTCCCGCCGGGCTGTGGGGACGAGCCGGAGGAGGAGGACGAGAGCGTCCTGGATGCGGTGATCAAGTACCTGCCCGGGCCTCTGCAGGACATTTTCAGGAAGTAACGCAGCGCCGCAGCCCCGCGACCCCGGAGCCCCCGCCCGCCCGCCCCATGAGATCTTCCGCGGAGACCCCTAAGGGATGTCGGGAGCCCAGTGCAGCCTCACGCCAATATAAGCCATAGCCCTAGGTCTGTCCTTCCCGCGCCCCACACGCCCCGGGAGCCTCCGCCCACCCTCCCGCACCTCCGCCACCTCCACCCGGCTCGGAGGGTCCAGCTTGGGCCTCTGCAGCGGACGCAGCACAGAATCGGCCCAGTGCTCCTCTGCCCACGGGGATGAAGCCTCCACGCCCGGGAAGCCCCTTCCTGCTCCGGCGGTTCACCACCCGCGCGCCCCACCAGCGCCCGAGCCCAGAGCCGTCCCTCGACCACGCAGGGCGCGCTGCTCCAAGTCGGGCGCTCGTGCGGGTCCAACTCAGGAGCACAGCCATAGGGCGGCGGGGAGCAGCGAGAGCCTACCCCCGCTCTCGATCAGCCCCCCTGCCCGCTTGGTCCCCAGACTCTCGCCTCGGTCAGCCTCCTTCCATCCTCCGTCCCTGCTCCCTTCCAAACTTCGCCTCGCGCTCGCCGCCCGCACTCTGGCCCCGGGCTGCTGGTGCAGCTCCTCGGTGTCTTCCGGGCCTCACGGCCCACCACCATCGGTGCCCCTTACGCTGAGTCCGTCTCTCTCCCTCCCCCTCTCTCTCCTCTCACTCCTCTGGCAGGTTTTGCTTCTTAGGATCGCCGTGACCGTGTTGTCTCGTAAATCGAGGGAAACAAAGCAATTGTTTGGGGAAGCTCAGGACACTTCCCCATCCTGTCCTCTCTTCCATACTGGGAAGGCTGCTGTTTCTCTCCACGGCGCCCTGCCCTCCCTCTGAGCACCCACACTTTCAGCAAGAGCTGGGGAGGCCTGAGAAACCCAGAGCCCCGCTCCAGGGACCATGGCCCAGGACCCACCCTGCCTGGTGCCTGTCTCCCCTTTCCCCAGGGCTGAGGGGTGAACCGGAGCAGAGCCCAGCGGGAGTCCAGCAGAAACCGGCGAGGCGAGCCCCTAGCCTAGAGCCCTTCCTTTCTGTCCTTGTTTAATTTGCATCACAATTTGTTGAATCTCAGGTAAATGAGGTCTTTGTATTTGATGAGTTTTGTCTCGACAGGCGGTCGCCTGGTCCCTAGCCCTTTCTGTGCACAAGGAAAACGTGTTCAGTGTCCACGCGTCGCGGGCCAGAGGCGTGGCTCGGCATTGACCTTCATGACCTTACATAGCTTTAGAGAAGCCATAACGACCGACCGCAATACGAACCCGACGCCCTTGCTGCAGAGGCGCGCGCGCCCCACCCCGCCCCTTTCGCCCGCTCTGTGTCCCCTCTGACTCCTCCGGGTCCACGCCTTTTTAAAATGCCTGTTTTCACACTTTAAAAAGCCAGCTCTGAGCAGACAGGGCGTTCTCTCGCAGAAACCACGCATCCTGTCCCCAGCGCGTGGGGAGCCCGGCCGCCGAGCTTAGCTATACGTGGATGTTGTCTGTCCGTACGTCCCTGCGCCCTCCTGCATGTCGGGGGCCCTTGCGTGTGTTCTCTGCCGATGGAATCACAGCCAATAAACACCACAGTGATTCACGCTCCGTGGCCAATCCTTCAGCATTTCTTTCTGCCATGACCGGATTCACAGGGCCTGGAACTCAGACCACACTGTGGGTGGAACTGAGCGATGCCTGGCCAGTTGGGCAGCACCTTATCCTCTTGCTGGGACACCTGCGGGGTCTCACCACTCTCCGGACCAGGTTCAGCCAAAGCCAGAGTAATCTCCATTTATTTTATTTTTTATTTTTTTTGAGACAGAGCCTCAAGCTGTCCCCCTGGGTAGAGTGCTGTGGCATCACAGCTAACAGCAACCTCCAAGTCCTGGGCTCAAGCAAGTCTCCTGCCTCAGCCTCCCAAGTACCTGGGACCACAGGCGCCGGCCACAATGCCCAGCTATTTTTTGGTTGCAGCTGTCATTGTTGTTTTGGCAGGCCAGGGCTGGATTTGAACCCACCACCTTAGGTGTATGTGGCTGGTGCCTTAGCCACTTGAGCCACAGGCGCTGAGCCAGTAATCTCCATTTAAATGAAGACTTTTGCCCCCCCAGGCTCCTTCTGCCCTGGGTCTTCCCCAGGCCCCCAACCCTGCTCCCAGACTCCAATTATAGCTTTCCTTTCTTTCTCTCTCTTCTCTCTCTCTCTCTTTCTCTGTCTCTATCTCCCTCCTTCTCTCTCTTTTTTTGGACTGAGTCTCAGTATGTCACCCTGGGTAGAGTGTCGTGGCATCATAGCTCACAGCAACCTCAAACTCTTGGGCTTAAGTGATTCTCTTGCCTCAGCCTCCCAAGTAGGTGGGACTACAAGTGCCTGCCTCAACACCTGGTTAGGTTTTTAGAGAGGAGGTCTTGCTTTGGGTCAGGCTGATCTTGAACCTGTGAGCTTAGGCAATCCACCCACCTCAACCTCTCAGAGTGTTAGGATTATAGGCGTGAGCTGCCATGCCCAGCCCACCTGGCTATTTTTTAGAGACAGGGTCTCGTTCTTGCTCAGTCTGGTCTGGAACTCTTGAGCTCAAGCAATCCACCTGCCTCAGCCTCCCAGAGTGCTAGGATTATAGGCATGAGCCACCATGCCCAACCTATTTATTGTTTTCTTTATTCCTTTTTGTCATCCAGGCTAGAGTGCATAGTTCACTACTATCTGAAACTGCTGGGCTCAAGCAATCTTCCTGTCTCAGCGTCCCAAAATGCTAGGATTATAGGCATGAGCCACTGCACCTGGCCAAGATTTTATTTTAGTACCCATCTGGATCTGAAACTCAGTCTTTGGAGCCACTTTTGTGGTTTTGGCCACTACATACTGCCCTCTAGTTTGGTTGCTCTTAAAGGGCTCTCCCAAATCTACCTACTTATCCTTCATTCTTGCCCCACCACTTGTCTTAGCAGGGCTGGATCTCTCTTGGGCCTGAGCAGCAACTTGGCAGCAACTGAGCAGCAACTGAGCAGCAACTGTCACAAACCAGACAGCCTCCCCTCAGAACTTTTGCCAGTTGGCCCGTTAGCAACTGACAGGTCAGACCCAAGCCCACCTGGACCCATCTCTCACCCTCAGGTGATGGGGTGTTGAGGCCTCTAGGCAGACATATACCATTCACTTGAGCCCCTATGACATATGGTGCTCTATTCTAGACACTGAGGATAACTGAGGTCTTTAACCCAGAACTAATTTTTATAGCAATGGGAAACAGATAATAGATAAGTCACATGGTGATTTCTGCTTTGCAGAAAAATTGTTCAGAGGATGGTGAAGAGTTACCATTTCATGAGCGGTCAGGGGCCTCCTCTGTGAAGGTGATGTGCAGAGACCTGAAGGAGATGGTAGCCCTGTAGGTGTCTAGTGGGACAGCATTCCAGGCAGAGGAACAGCCATGCGAGATCCAGGAGGCGGAGCTGCCCTGCACCCTGCAGAGTGGTGACAATGCCCACCTGATGTAGCCTTGTCTAGGTGCTTGCTTGAGAACCACCCTGCCTCTTAGCAGAGACTCCTTCCTTTCTGGACCTTTAACTGTGTTTGAACCAAGTAGAGCAGTGTTTTTAGCTCCAGACGCTCCAAAGACGTCCTCCACTCCCTATGCAGGGAAGTCCCTCAGTCTCCCGGCTCTGATTACCTCCTCTCCCCATTCCTTGCTGGCAGCAAGCCCTGAGTGGATGGCCTCTGCTTTGATTTCTTTTCCACCCTGCTCTCCAGATATCTGCACCTAAGCCACTTAGCCATCAAGGCTTTCAGAAGAGATTTTTAAGGACAGTTAAGGACCACTTTGTCCAGCTGTGCTAATTGGCACCTAGGCAAATGCTGCTGTTCACTAGGAAGCCAGCAGGTCTGGGCCACCTGCCCGCACAGCTTGAAAACGGCCTATGGTCAGCGGGTTTGTGGTCGGATGGGAAAGCAGGGGAACTGTGGGTGAGTGTGTAGGGCCTACGACCCAAGAGCCAGGAGGGATGTCGGGCCGAACTTAGACGCAAAGCCGGGAGGACCAACCAGGCGCTCTGGTTGGGACTCTGGGAACCACGCTCCCCGCCCCCGCCCCCGCCCCTGAACGGCGGAGCCAATCACCGAGTGCCAGAGCAGTCCTCAGAGATTGGCACTGAAAGGGCCACGTGGGAAGCCTGACCAATCAGAGCCAGAGGGACGCCATTGCAGGGGGCTGAACAAGAGTGGCCCTGGAGTTCACCTGCCTCTGTCTCCTTGGCTACCCATATCCCACGTGGTCTGGCCTTCACCACCTGGCCCGGCCGGCGGCATGCATGCGGGTCTCACACGCCAGAAGCTTCTCACGGGGCCCTACCTGCCGCCTCTCCCGCCCCATATCTTCCGCAGGCTCCGCCGGCCTCGCCCCACAGGCCCCGCGGTCCGCCTAGGCCTCGCTCCTCTCTCATCCCCCACCTCACTGCTTGCAGCGTGGGGGCATTGCCCAAGTCCGGTTTTCATCCGCGGGTCGATCCGAGTCCATCCCCCACCTCAGCCACAGCTCCGCTCGTGAAGGCTTGGAGCAAGTCGCTTTCTGGCCTTCTGTCCTACCGGCCCGGGCGTCAGCCCGTGTCAAACCTGCGGACGCGGCGGGAGCAAAGCTGGCGCTGGAGGTCGGGCGACTGAGGCCATTCCGGACAGGCAGGCTTTGCTGGGCTTCCCATTGAAAGGAAAAGAAACCAAGCTGTGTAAAGTAACAGAGTTTATTCTCAGCCGAGTCAGAGGACCGTGCCTTCTTCCGGGGGTTATAATGTAGTTTGATACATTCCGGGGAGACAGCCCTAAAAAGTAAGACGTCTCTTGCAGGGGCAGGGGTAGGGCTTGCAAGTTATAGGTGGGTTTAAAGACTCTTTGATTTGTAATTGGTTAAAACGATGAAGGTTTGTCCAAAGGCTTGGCATGCTTTAAGATAAGGGAGTCTTAATCAGGGACAAGCCACCAGATGAGTGCCAGATCAAATGATCTGTCATGTGAATTGAGGACGTGCAAGTTTGTCTTTGGTGGCCTTAGCCTGATAAAGAGTCACAAAGGACGTCTCCAGAAAGGGAGGGGTAATGGTGAAGGGGTCTGATCTCCTTTCCCATAGCCAGCAACTGAGTCCCCGTGGCTCAGAGAGGGTCTGGTCTGCCAGCATCTCAGGAAGCCTTACTTTTAGTTCACAATGGGTGACCCTGAGGACAGGACCTGTCCCTTCCTTCCACTGCCCCACCCAGAGTGTCTCCCTCATGGGTGTCCACCAACATCACCTGTGGACCAGGCCAGTGAGGAGAGCATGAGATCAGCAGCAGTGAGATGTGCTGCGTATGGCAGCAGTTTAGGGCCCCCATGGGCCCAGGGAGCCTTCTAGTCAGGGCCCTGCTGCTGCTTGTGTCTCACCCCAGGCTGCATATAGGGGACCTGACTCATTGTGCAGTGTATCCCAATGTGGACCAAAGTGCTGTCTGGAGACCATCCCTCAGGAGCCATGACTGTCTAGGGACTGTCCCTCCTTTAGAGGCCTTGTCCTGGTACTGTCCTTTCAGGAGCCCTAATTGTCTGGGTACCATCCACCTTCAGGAGTCCTGTCTGGAAACCATCTGTCCTGCTACCAGGATGCCTTACTGTTAAGGGACCATCCCCTTTCTGGGGATCAGATCCTTTCATGTTTCAAAAGACTTAAATAAAAATGTGCTTAATGAACCAACCTTGTTTTCATGGTAGAATAATACATTTGAAAAACCACAGAAATAAGGTAATGGTCAAATAATTTGTCTTTTACCTGCAATTGTGACCCAAAAAGTTGAAGACCATTATCCACTAGAGCATGGCAACCCCTTGCAAGCCATAAAAGGGAGGGTTTGGGCAGTTGTTGCTCTTGAGTTTGCACAGAATACCCTGAGCCTTGCATCCCCACACAAGGGGGGGCAGAAGACATCACAAACACAACCAGCGTACTTTAGGCCCAGTTTATGCTAGCACACTTGTATTCCTGCAAGCACAACTGGGCATTGTCATTTTGCCTTAGAAAGGTAAGAGCACATTTTGCTCTCAGCACACAGGCATCCCTGCCCCAAGGAGGGTCTAAGGCCCATCAGGAGGACCTTAGTGCACCTGATGTTTTTTCTCTCTAGAACAAAGACGTTTGTCCCTAGCCAGATTTAATAGATGCTGAGGGTCCTCTAGCTGTGGAATACCCTAGATGCTGGTCTAGTAACAAAGACACTCACTTTCCTATCCCCCTGCCACTGTTTGGCTTCCAAATGATGACAGTTGTGTCTGTGACAACACCGATGATTAGAATGGTACTTTTACTTCACATGTGTGGAAAAAAAAACCACTCACCAGATAGGCCACCCCTGCAAGACCCTCAGAGTTGCAGCAGACAAGCTGGCTCTGGGTTAGCCTGAAGGTGAGGCAGAACTGGTTGGGACAACTCTTCCCCCAGAGTAGCACTTCCTGGGGCAGGAGGCTGCCTTAAGGTACAAATCCTCCACCAGGGCCTCCACTTGCTGATGTGTATGGACTAAACTGTGGGCACTTGCGGGCCTGCCACTCCCTCATGACATTTGTTAAGGTCCCAGCTTACAGGCACATGTCTGATACACAGCCAAACAGAGCCAGAGGGACACCACTGCAGGGGGACACGATGTGGACTCTAACAAATGCAAACAATGCAATCTAATCTTCTGCACCTTCATATTAATGTGGAAAAAAAAATGGAGTAACTGACTTTCTAAATATTAGTAAAAATAAACTTTGTCAGTTTCTTAAAATTAAACTTACTTTTTAAATTTACTGATCTTAAGGCCATGAGAAAATTTTGGCCACAATATCCTCCTTTCCTTTCTCAGGTTTTCAAAATTGTTTTATATTGCTTAACTTTTACAAATGAAGTTTTGGCCATAATGCTTTGGACAAACTAACACAGGGAGATAGGACATTTGTCTGTCAGTCTTCCAGGCTACAGGGATTGGCAGGTTCTTTTTCAGCAGTATTTTTGCTGGTACTTCAGGCTCCAAACTGAAGCAAATACTCTTTCTGCAAATAGACCAACTATACTTATTTTACACAATTTCTGCCAGAACTCTGGTATCAGACACTGGAACATTTTTATGAAGTTTTGCACCTGGTAACAATTTATAAATGTACATAGAGCAAGTCAAGAAGGTGGTTACCACAGGAGGGAGCAGCATGCTCATGCATACACTTTGTGAATGGACATGTGTGAATGTCCATGTGTGGCAAGTGTGTGTACTCATGAGGTAAGGCTGCTGAGTGGTCTGCACTAGCACCCATGGTATTTTTCATTATGTGGTACTATCCTAAGAAATCATCTGTCTTATGCTTGCACAACTATTTTATATCATAAATTTCCAGCCTGAAGGATTTTTTTCTTTTGCTTTTATTACAAGCATATAATATTAATTGGCAAAACACTGAATACAAGCTTCACTATCATAAAATCAAAACATTTAAGCAATATTCCAAAAAAGATATTTTAGACAAAAACTAGCCACCAATAGTACAAAAATTACACACCAACACAAAGCATAAAAATGTAAACTTTCAAATTAAATGGTCAAAAATATGTATCTGCACCACCATTTCCACAAACTGGGGCAGCTGCGTTCATCTGTCTGCCCCACACCGATGATAAAGGCTTAGTGTCCCTTAACCTGACATTACTTTCACGTGTTTCTGACACCCAATTATGCCACTGGAATAGACACTAACCCTAAAGCTACACACATCTTGGGGGCTGGAGCTCTAGCATCTTCCTGATGAACTGCTCACTGGGGAGCAAAAGGCCTTGCTCAACCGACCCCACACACAGCCTCAAGGCTCCAGAGGCTGGCTGCTCATACCCCATTCCCTGCAGGCAGGGGACACATCTGTAAATATTATGGCATAATCTGAATGATCTCCTAATCTACTTATCTCAGTTTATTTACTTAGTTTATTAAAAATCAAGGCAGAGAAATACATTTATTTATTACCTTAAGGTCATGTGTGATGTGGTGGAGCTCAGATGATTTCCTGAGGAAAAAGAGGAATCTGATCGTTTGTGATTTAGCTATCTGCACTAAATTTATTTTCAATATTTGAGAGCACATTAAATATTCACGCACAATGTAGAAACCAGCTGGCTCATTTCTAGAGCATTCAATCCAATGCCACATTACAAGCCACTGTAAAAATGCCTTCCTGTGTGCTCTGAGGAAAAAACTAAGTGAATCTCCAAAGACTGGGGATGCTGTAAGCAGGCTCAGAGGCTGACCACATGAGGGCTGAAACCCGTGAAGGGTGATGTCCTCTATCCCACCAGGTGGCCCACAGGTTGGCTCCCGGCTACCCTGATGCCTGCTCAGAGCGGCTGTAAATGCTGCTGCTTCTCTCTCTCAACAGGTGCCCTCCCAGTAATAGCATTCTTACAACAACAATGAAAAAGGAGAATCCAAATAGCTGAATACACATATTTTGAAATTCTACTTGTATTCCCTTTCAATTTAGCAGAGTAAATGCTACATTACAATTTAAACAGATGTCTAACAAATGCATGTTGAAACCTATTGCACGAAAGCATAAAAGATGCTTGTCATCCATATAAAACAAAACATACAAATTAAAAGCTACTCAAAATAAAACGAAGCTTGCAAAACATCTCACAATTTCATTTTATATGCCTGTAAATAAAGCTGGACCACTGAAACCAAACAACTGGATGGGAAAATATGATAGAAGGCATAAAATAGAATAAATAATTTTATAAAGTTACGTTTTCTTCTTTAACCCCCCAAATCTTAAATTTAATATTATATATTCTATCTGACTTTTTTATTTTCTTGAAAATGGTATCAAGTGAGACCACATTCTGGATAATTAGGCCCACTGCTATTGAAGATGATGCCTAAGGTAATTTAACAGCATTTGTTTCACCAGCATAAATAGTTGTGAAAACTACTTCACAGTAACACCATCTGTTAAACAACTTAACAGGATCCAGTCATTAACTGATCCTGGCTTTCATGCTGGAAAAAATAAAATTCAGCCTTTTGATGTTAAATGAGAGCTTGACAGAAATGAAACGAGACCGCCGGAAGCTTCCATGTGACGGAGGCTCATTATGCTCCTGTCTCTGAACCACATAAGGCTAGGAAGTCAGACCAAAGAGGCAGAAGGTCACCAAGGAAATTTTCCTGCAGTGAGACAGTCTGCATGATGAAATCTTAGAAAAATAGGTACTTTTGCTGCTGAGGTTTTATCAGGTTAACACAATTATAAAAGCAGGGTCACAACCAGCTGGAGACGTTAATACTGGCTTCAATTTATCCTTATCTCTCTGTATATTTAAATGTATCAACTTAGCACCATAGCAAAGTCAAGTGATTTCAAAGATAGCTACAAAGTTACAAATATATATTGAGATTATTACAGTGATACTAAGTTTAATCTGAACTGTGAATTAATTTTATCTGAATTTGGAGGCTTATAACTGTTTAAATCCTTCCTTAATTTCACCACATACGAAAATACCTAAATTCTAATGTTACTCTTAGAACTGCACTGTGATGATATGGTTTTGCAGAATGTTTCAGCAGTATGTATATTTTGAGGTAGACAGGTAATATTTACTCATACACATCTACTCACAAACCCTTGCAGAACCCTAAAACATGATTTGGATGAACAGCAAGCTTAGGTAACTGAATAATTCAAACAGTCCTGGGAGTTATGGGTTTAAATAAAGAGGTGAATTTTGACCAATTCCTAACAAAGAATTTGCTTTTATGTGTTAAAAAGGCGTCACACACAAAGCACTTGGACAGAATAAACCCAAATGTTTGTTTTCTCATCCCTGCGGCTGGGTCTTCGGAAGATGGCTCTGACACCCCACATCTAACAGGAGACAGAAGAGAACAAACTGTGTGTTAATGAGACAAACATAACTTCCAAAGAAAATTTAAGAAAAAATTCTCGTCTCTAAGGTGAAATACTTCATGGAAACTGGCTGGTGGCCAGTTAACACTGGGACCTGGAAGGCAGGAGGGAGGAAGGAGGCTCAATGACCAGCAAGAAACCTACAGGAATATCTTAGTGGAGATTACAATGAAGGCTACTCCAGAAAATGGCTCCTTTCTCCTCATTCTTGCCTTTCTACACTCTAAGTTACTGTTTTAAGGGAAAAAATATTCATGTCCTGCAAAGAGGTCATTCCCTAATTTGACAAAAATACTAAGTCTGTGAGGAGAGGGGCTGATGGTGTGTACTGCCTGTGGCCAAAAGGCAGCTTCTGGGGGTGGCAGCAGCTGCCCTCTGACCCCCTAGCCTGCTCGCCCTCCCACAAGCTCAAATGCCTTCTACTAACAACTGCCATGGCCTGTAAGCTACTTCCACCAACAGGGCGGGGTGGGGGGAGAACGATGGAAACGACCCATCTGCAAGTGAGCATGGTGCATGGCGTACACTATCCTGATGCTGTTACCAGCACACTGTCCCTGGGCACCAGACACCCCGAGCTTCATCTAATGGGCCTTGCAGGAAGGAGCCACCACAGACACCACCACCTTTCTCTTCAGCAAAATGAAAATGGGAAAAAGTAGGAAATCAACAATTTGTGCCCTTTTTAATAAGTACTTTTTAAAAACAAGAATTGTTTTGCAAACCAACACTTGAGTCGGTCAAACCGCCTCTGGTCTACCCCATGTGTCAGAAATCGCCAGGTGTGGCCACCCCCACCCATTTCCTCCCCTGCCTGGCCTGTGGCGAGTGTCTGTCCCACAGATCCCACACACTGACTGGCCCACAGTGCCAAACAACACAAAGGTGATGAATTCGCGGCTGTGGCCTTTGTTGTGTTTCATAAGGTGAAAATTAAATATCATAGTTAAATCGTGGTATTAATGGAAACTTCTTTTGGTATGCTTTTAAATTAAACTTTTATATATCTTTGAAGTCTTTAGGAAGCCAAAGGCAACATAAATATCATCATTCACCATGAAAAGATATTTTTCCAATAACTTAGGAAGGATTCCATAAAAGCACAAGTATTTTTGAGGCTTATCATAAAATCTAATTCACAAACTAAACTGAAATGAACTCAGATTTTCAAGACCTGGAAAGCAAGCAAAAGTGATCTGTGTCAAGGTGACTTTCAAACCAGGCCGCGCTATAGCTGTTACTCCATTGTGAATCTGAAGCAAATAGAAGAGCATTACTCGGCTACACGCCACTGTGAAGTGTTTTCATCCTCCGTAAACGTGGTGCTGGTAGTGTCTTGTTGAGTGTGAATTCTCGCATACAAAAGTTATAAATATTCTATATTCAGAAGTCTGGTCCACACAACACCCAGAGGCAACATTCTGAAGTGCGTGGCTGTGAGGACCCCACGCAGGACACCTGGGGGTGCAAGGGCTGAGTCTGCAGGTGCTGGTGTCTCACAGCAAGTCCATCTTGGGTCTGTAGTGCAGCAGCAGGGGCGCCTTCTGCAAGATACGAGAGCATGAGGAGCTCCTGAGCAAGCAGGCATGGACTTGCCGGCCCATAGTGGGCAGGAGAGGGAGGTGCTCAGACACAAGCCCTGAGCAGGGTCTGGTCCTGGGTAATGTGGAGTCAGGCCAGCGAGAGCCCAGAGGAACGACCTTGGGCCCACTGCCCTCCCTGGGAGCCCAGAACACCCAGACTGTGTCACAGCCCCTCCTGGGCACCCTCCACCATGCGCCTGGCCTCCCTGAGGGGTGGGTGGGTGGCAGAACTGGGCCCTAGTGGGGGCCCTGCCCAGACCGCAGGGCCGACAACTTCAGAAAGATTGAAGCTGTGTTTTACAGCATCAGGGCTGAATCATCCCTTTCAAGTTCTTGGAAAAAAGGGACGCATAGGCCGGGCACAGTGGCTCATGCCTGTAATCCTAGCACTCTGGGAGGTGGGTTAGGGAGGCAGGTGTATTGCCTGAGCTCAGGAGTTCTACACCAGCCTGAGCCATAGCGAGACCTTGTCTCTAAAAAAAAAAAAAAAAGATGGGTGTTGTGGCAGGTGCCTGTAGTCCCACCTACTTGGGAGGCTGAGGTAAAAGAACCGCTTGAGCCCCAGAGTTTGAGGTTGCTATAAGCTGTGATGCCACAGCACTCTACTGAGGGTGACAGACTAAGACTCTGTTTCAAGAAAAAAAAAAAAAAAGAAGAGGGAAGCACAGAAGGGTAACTACTGCTCATAATAGAGTCTGAAAATCACATCAGACTCATAAAATTGCACATCTCACCTTGAATCTCCACCTCGTGACAACCACGAACTTGAGTGTGTGGTCCTTGCCCAGAATCTCCTCATTGCATAAGATGTCCAGCTGGCGGGAGAAGAAGCTTGATTAGGGAACCAGCCATGCCTAGCATACTTGGTCTCTTTGCATGGCTGGTCTGGGTGAAAGGATAAAGCCTCCGTGCATCTTTGAGACACAGCCCCGACACATCAAAGTGGACTTTGCTTGACCCATTCATTTTCCCTGCCTCACACTAAAAAGCAGATCTGTAATGACATGAGTGAGGCATGTGGCCTGCTCAGACCAGGCACTGCCCCGCACAGCCAGTCTCAGGTTTGGAGGGGCAGGCCCAGCTGCTGACACCTGGTGGAGAATGAGCTATGCACAGTGCATCCAAGCCTGCATGCCCTCCCTGGGCACTGCTTTTGCATACTGGTCACACCCCTATCCATGTCCTGGGCTCCCCCTCTCCCATCGTCTGGCACATAAGCAGCACTAAAACCAGGGAGAGATGGTTTGCAGGGAGCCACCAGCCTCAAGGGCCTCGTGGGTTGTGACAGGTTCTAGCAACTCCAGACCTGGCTCCCTTGCCACAGAGGGCCCTAGAGATCCTAGGATGGATGCTGGGGGCCTGGCCCACCCCCACCACACTGCGGTTGGGTCTAGCTAACTCCACTAGCCCACTATGTGTGGGGCTGCAGCCCCACTCTAGACCAAACCATCTTTCTCACAATAGCAGAGATAGTTCCCACTCTTTTAAATTAAACAGACTTGGCTTGGTGCCCATAGCTCAGTGAGTAGAGCGCTGGCCACATACACCAAAGCTGGTGGGTTTGAGCCTGGCCCCGGCCTGCTAACCAACAGTGACAACTGCAACCAAAAAAATAGCCAGGCATTGTGGCAGGCGCCTGTAGTCCTAATTACTCAGGGAGACTGAGGCAAGAGAATCGCTTAAGCCCAAGAGTTTGAGGTTGCTGTGTGCTATGATGCCATGGCACTCTATGGAGGGCAACATAGTGAGACTTTCTCCAAAAAAAAAAAAAAGAGAAAAGAAAAGAAAACAACAAAAGAAATTACATAGACTTTATTTTTTACAACAGTTTTAGAGTCACAGTATAATTAAGAGGTCAGAGTGCCCTAAAGCTCTGCCTCCATTATTGACTCCCCCAAAGTAGTCTCTGGTCACACCAGCATCACCAGAGTCTACAGCTGACACAAGGCTCAGTCCTGGGGCTGCACAAACATCTGACAACGTGAGTCCAGGGTCACAGTGTTACCAATCACCTGCTCTCCCCTGACTCCTGGCAACCGCTATTTTTTACTGTCTCCACGGTTTTGCATTTTCCAGAATGTCATGTAGTTGGAATTGCATGGTCTGTTGACTTTTCCAATTGGCGACTTTGCTTACAAGATGAAATTAAACTTCCTTCCCATCTCTGCATAGCTTCATGGCTCATTTCTTTTCAGTGTTGCTAATATTCCATTGCCTGGATATACCAGAGTTTGTCCATTTGCCCACCAAAGGGCACCTTGGCTACATCCAGATTTTGGCCATTACAAATCGAGCAGCTGTAAATAGCCATATGTAGGCAACTAGCAAGGAGCTTCTTATATGGCAGGAAACCACCAGCTGTGCTCCAGAGGGCTGTGTGTTCCTGCAGGTGCTGTTGGTATGCTGGAGTTTGGTGTCCCATTGTTTTCACTTGCATCTCCCCAATGGCATATGATACTGACCCAGAATGTCCTTCAAACTTCTCTCTCAGGGTACAGGGAGGAGAGTCCTCCACCTTTGGGAAGCATCAGGCAGGGGACAAACTCAGGCCAGCTCTGAGAGGCTCCACTGTCTCATGGATGTTGCCAATGAGGAACAAGACTGATGAAAGTGAGAGGTCAGCACTACAGACCGCCTTGCAGGCAGCCCTTGAAACTGGCCTGTGCCTCTGCTGCCAGCGGTCTTCCCTGCCAATGGCATTGACCTGCGTTTGCCCCTGCTGCCAGTGGCATTGAGAGGTCAGCACACATTGGTTGCGAGCTCCTTCACTGCAGGCCCAGTGGACCCCTAATGGGGCTAGCGTCCTTGTCCTCGAGTCTCAGGGACCCTTGGTCCTCAGTGCTTAGACCCCTTGTCCCTGGGCTGAGATCCAAGTTGAACCCCTCCTGTGAGGGCAGAGGCCCAGGGCTAACCACCAGTGTGGGAAACCTCACAGCCTTCCCTCTTGTGGCTTCTGTGGAGGAAAGGTCCTCATGCCTGGACCACCAGCCTCTCCCTAGGCCACCCCCGGTACATTTCGTGCCCCCCAAATGAGCTTGAGCACCTCCACCTTTGCAGGAAGACAAATGCTCTACTGTCTCTTTTAGTCCCCCTGATGCCACCCTCAAAACCTGGCACAAGCCCCCTCCAGTCTCTTCTCTGCTTCATGCACTATTTGGACTCTCTGAGGGCTGCAGGCCCTGAGTTCACTTCTCTGGCTTGTGTACCAGCCTGTCTCCAGACACCACCCTGAGCTCCCGATCCTTTCTGCTGTGCGTAGCCCCAGCTGAGTCCACCACTGCCTTCTTGGGCTTTCTCCTTGTCAGTCTCTTGGGGCCGTAGTGGACACTGCCACAAACTGGGCTGCTGCAAACAATGGAAATCCGCAGTTCCTCAGCTCAGGGCCCAACAGAAGTCTGAAATCTGGGTACCCACAGGCTGCTCAGAGCTCCAGGGCAGTGCCTCAGTGGGTTCTGTGCTTGGCAGAGAGGACGTCCTTAAATTCCTCACAGCTCTGGAGGCCAGATATGCAGGCAAGGTGGCTGCGGAGCATCCTGTTGTATCCCCATGGAGCCCTCACTACCACCTTCCATAGGAACTGCACTTGGGACCAGGGTTTGGGGGATGTATCCAGGGCAGGCAGGGAGGATCCTCCTGCCTCTTTGGCTCTAGGCTGGCTCCTCCTCTGGGCTGTGTCTTCCAGCCTCTGCCTCTGAGCCTGTGCTACAAGTCCCCCTCTGCCTTGCTCAAAGGGCTTGTTGTTGGATTTAGGGTCCAACCAGATAGTTCAGGATTTCACTTAAAAGATCCTTAATTAAATCTGCAAAGTTCATTTTTCCAAATAAAACCCCATTTGCAGTCAGGATGTGAGCTTCTTTCTCGGCCACCACTGTGCCCACTGCTTGCGCCAAAGCACACTGAATCTGCCTGCTTCTCTACCTTGCCTGCCTCTCCTGCTTCTATGCCTACACCCTACAACCCCATTCCCCAGAGCCGAGGGGGTCTCTGCAACTCCACCCCCAGCTCCACGCCCTCCTGTAGCACCAGGACCTCTTTGGTCAGGGCAGAACCAGTCCTGTGCTGGCCACAGCTCCTGGCCAGTGTCAGTGCTGTGGGCGCCCCTTAGGTACCAGGTTTTACTGTATTCTCAGTATTTGTCACAACTTGAAAGTGCCCTTCCTATCCCTCCATCCATCTATTTATTCACCCATCCATCCCTCAACACACTCACTGACCATCCATTTGCAATATTAAAGAACAAAAGAATCCCTCTTTAGGAGGAAAATCCTGAACCTCCTCTATCAACTATGGGCCTCAGGCTCTCAGTCTTCCCACAGTCCCCACTGTCTCCTGCTACCTGGGGGAAAGGGTAGACAAAACAAATTGAGATTTTTCTCTGATTAAAATCTCCAAAGTTGCTAAAAATAAATACCAAAGAATTTTAGAAGTACCACTTTTACAAAGAAGAAATAACTTGTTATGGCTCCTATTTATGGATCAACTGTTACCTCATTGAAGGATGACAGGTTAAGCTTCTTGGCGATGAACTTCTTCAGGTGCAACACAGTGGCCTGGGCAGAGCAGCGGATCCACTTCCGTTTCAGCCCCCGCAGTTTGCTGCTGTTGCACTCCAGACAGATGCTCACCTTGGGGACACACAGCGTCAGCCTGGGTCTGCCTTGACTGCTCCTGGGAGACTAATCCCCAAACCTTAGACTGTTGACCTTTGTGAAACCAGAGACCTGCTCTGACCTCAACACCATAGGAAGATAATTTTACTTCAATCATTTTACATACATTATCTTAACACGCTTAGTTTGCTTGCCATTTTGTGAAATATAACCTGACCCTGTTAATTTTATCTTCCTAACATAATATCTTAAAGCAAATCCAAGGTTATTTACCTGCCACTGGCCTGAGTCCTTGTCTGGGCTAAACCTTTCCTGAAAGTCCCTAGCCAGTGGGCTCATGCAGAGACCAGGCCTCTGGGCACAACCTGAGACATATGGAGAAATGGTGCAATGACATTGGCTTTACCCGGTGCCCCAGAAAGGCTGTGCAGGAAGCAGCACTGTCTGGCCCTGTGGAGGACAGAAAATGCACTAAGAAAAACCAAGGAGACACTACAGGGCCACAAGCTCTGGAAACAGTGGCACATGGGTCAGACTGGCCACCCTGGTGCCAAGAGAGAGAACCAGCTGGAAGTGTGGACTCACCATAGCCATGTTGCAAAGAAGCTACCGGGCAGCACCTGTGGCTCAGTGAGTAGGGTACCAGCCCCATATACTGAGGGTGGTGGGTTCAAACCCGGCCCCGGCCGAACTGCAACAAAAAAATAGCTGGGCATTGTGGCAGGTGCCTGTAGTCCCAGCTACTTGGGAGGGCTGAGGCAAAGAGAATCACCTAAGCTCAAGAGCTGGAGGTTGCTGTGAGCTGTGAAGCCACCACACTCTACTGAGGCTGACAAAGTGAAACTCTGTCTCTAAACAAACAAACAAACAAACAAAAAAAGAGGAAGTTACTAAGGGGCACAAACTCTCAGCCCAGGCCCCAGAACCCTGGGGGTAGAGGCAGTACCCCCAGAAAACATCCTTCAGTAGCAGCTGACAAATGGCACCATCAGGTCCCTCAAAGTCTCGATAAAAGGCTAACAAAGAATGACTAAAACACGTCCAAAATTACAAAAGCAAGAGTTAAACACGTGAGACATCGTGAATAAAGAACAGACAGATATTGCAGATAATAAGATATAACTTCTAAAAATCAAAACCAGGTGGCTCACACTTGTAATCTTAGCACTCTGGGAGGCCAAGGCAGGTGGATTGCCTGAGCTCAGGAGTTCAAGACCAGCCTGAGCAAGAGTGAGACCTCGTCTCTAAAAAACAGCTGGGCGTTGTGTTGGGCGCCTGTAGTCCCAGCTACTCGGGAGGCTGAGGCAAGAGAATTGCTTGAGCTCAAGAGTTTAAGGTTGCTATGAGCTATGATGCCACTGCACCCTACCGAGGGTGACACAATTAGACTGTCTCCCAAAAAATAAAAAAAATAATAAATAAAAATTAAAAACATTCACTGAAATGAGTACCTCCACAGATGACTAAATTGCAGGTTAATCTCAGCAAAGACAGATTAACTTTCTAAAATTCATCTGAGGACATCACCCATATCAAGTGTAGAGTCAAAGACATCAACTGAAATAATACCACGATGAAAAGTTAAGAGAAGCAAAGATGGAGTGAAGAGTTTGAGGAACAGGGAACACAGCTGCAGAGGGAGGAGGCAGAAGACCAGGTGGGCAGGGCAGACTCATGGCCAGCTCTGGCCTTTATGAAATGTGAAAATTCACTTCAACATCTTGTAACCACAGAATCACAGGAGTAGAACTTACCTACTTGAAAACCAGTAGAAGCAAAAAAGAGACTAAAGAAAACGCACTAATTTGATAGGAGTTGGAAAAGGGGAGACACAGGATAAACTCAAAGGAGACAGTGGGGTGGCAGAGACAACCCAGACTCTCTGTGAGTCACCAAAAGCGTGGAATGACTTGCCAGCTAAATTTTTTTTTAAAATGTAGCTCTGTGCTGCATATCTCTATGCTGTGTAGTTTTTTATGCTGTGGAAAGTGTCGCATTTAAGAAAGATATTTAAAAAACTGTAACATCAGGCAGATATTAACCAAAACAAAGCTAGATTTCTATTAGACGCAGCAGACTTTAAGAAATTAAGCTTAATGAGAGAAAAAATCTCCTACGGAAGAGGGACATTTCGAGGCTTTAAGGTACCTACTGCTGTTTACGCTGCAGACTGGTAGGAGGGACAGCTGAACCACAGTCATAGGGCTTCCCCTTCTCTGCAGGGGAGCAGGTGTGGCCCACACAAGTGGACACCCTTGCAGGTGTCCCAGTGTGGAATTGTAGCTGGGGCAGGGGAGTGGAGCACAGTGCCCAGCACTCCCTGCAGAGTGGAGAAGCATTTATTGTTGTTCAATCTCAACAATATGACAAATGCTGCATAAATTCAGGTACAGCACGGTGGTAGCACAAGACTGGTTTTCCACATGTTGCATGAACATCCATAGAAATCCTTGCATGAACCTATTTTATTTTGCTTGGGTAGGTAGCTGGGAATAGAACCGATGGGGTGTATGACAGATTTATACCTAACTCTAAGAAGATGCCAAGCTACTTTCCAGAGTGGCTTCCCTGTTTGCATGACCCCAGTCAGTGCACAAAACCACAACACTTCCGTCCCCACAGCACTTGTCATCCACTGGCTGTGGGGTGGTGTCTCCCTGTGGGTATCATCTGCATTTCCCTGATGCCCAGTGATGCTGATTACTAACCAAACCTCTGTCCCATGGCCCAGTTGCCGTCTACGCATCTTGGGAACAAGTCCTCTTGTGTCTCTCACTTAGCTCCTATCTGGGCAACTCACCTCTCATTGGGTAGTAAGAATTATATACTTTGCACACAAATCCTTTACCAAAAATACGACTTGCTAGTATCTTTTCATTTCCTTAATGGTGTCTTTTAGAGTAGCAGTTCTTGGTTTAGTGAAGTCAATTCATCATTATTCTTTCACAAATTGTGCTCTTGGTGTTAAAAATGAGAACTCTAGGCCCAACACAAAGTCCTAGAGCTATATTTTGCATGTAGACATCTAATTGCCCCAGCCTCATTTGTTATAAATGCCATTCTTTCCCAGTGACCATGCCTTGATGCCTTTGCTGAAAACCAGCTGACCATAATCTAAAGCTTTATTTCTAGTCTTTTGAACTTGTTCCATTGACTTTTGAGTCTGTGTTCACGCCTCTAACATGATGTCTAATTACTGCAGCCATATAGTATGCTTTGATGTTTAGAATTTTTAGTACATATTTTTAAAAACAACCCAGGCACAATTCAGCAAGAATAAGCCAATTCAAAAATGGGTAAAAGCAGCCTGGGCAATATGAAACCTCATCTCCACAACAAATAGAAAAATTAGCTAGCTGCGGTGGCACCTGTAGTCCCAGCTATTTGGGAGACTGAGGCAGTAGGATCACTTGAGCCCAGGAGTGTGAAGTTGCTGTGAGCTGTGATGATGTCACTGCGCTCCAGCATGGGTGACAGAGTGAAACCCTGTCTAAAAAAACAAACAAACAAAGACTTTACATATTTCTCTAAAGAAAATATACAAATGACCAATAAGCACAAGAAGAGCTACTATAATTTATTAAGGAAATACACCTCAAAACCCAGTGAGACATCCCCTCATACCACCAGGATGCCTGCTACCAAACCATGCGCATGGGTGGGATGTAAAATGTTGCAGCCCCTATAGGTAACAGTGTGATGGCTGTTAACAACAGAATTACCATATCCGATCCAGGAATTCCACTTCTGAGAATTCCATAAAAGAATCGAAAACAGAGTCTCAAAGAGATATATGTACCCCATGTCCATAACAAAATTTCACAACAACTAAAACATGGAGGTAGCCCGAGTGCCCATAGGCAGAGGACATAGATGTCCCCACATGAGGGACGTCTCTCAGCCTCAGAAAGGTGTGACCCGCTGACCAGTGTGGCAGTGTGGATGGAAAAAGCCAGATGACACAAGCATGTCTTATGTGATTTTGCTCAGCTAAAATGCCCAGAACAGGTAGCCCACAGGGACAGAGGCCAGATGAGGTGGCCACACTGGGGAGTGGCATAGGGTCCCCTGAGGTGATGACAGTTCTGAAACTAGAGTGGCAGCTGCACTCCTTGTCCCTGAGATGAACACTTGAAAATGGTTAAAATGGGAAATTTGATGTATATTTTAATGGAGTTTAGAAAAAAGTTACCCATGGGCCAAGAAAGAAAGTACAATGAAAATTTATAATTATTTAGAACCAAACTGTATAGCTGGAAACTACATGAATGCTTAGACTTCAGGAAAGAAACAAAAAGGTGATGTAAAAAGATTAGAGGAAGGAAAAGAAGGGAGAAGCTACTGTCTCAGTGGGGAATACAGAGAGCCGCAGATGTGGTCATGATGAAGAAGAAACACAAGAATTCTAGGAACTAACAAAAAAGTTCAAGTAGAAAATCTCCTAGAAAGATATAACTGACCAAAATGAATTAACAGAAGATTTGAGCATAATTAAAACAGTTGAAGAAATGTAATTTGTACTTAAAAAATATATATATCTCCCAAATTAGCCAAGAATAATGGTTTTATAGTTTTACTAAATATTCAATAAACTGACAATCTGAATTATATGTCAGCTTTTCCAAAGAATAAGAAAATAGGAAAAGAGGGGACTATCTTTGGCTATGAGACTTATATACCCTTGATTCCCAAAGTATACAAATACACATTAAAAAAATGAAAAGTATGGGTTAATCTCAGTTTTAAAATATACACATAATACTAAATAAGTATTAGCAAGCAAAATCCAGAAATATACAGCAGGACCTCTGCGAGTGACCACCCAAGGGATTATAACAAGCTGGTCATCACAAGGAACCAGGCCTGCTGTACTGACACGTACATGCAATGCACTTCCAGGCTGTGAGGATTAGGTCAACTTGAGGAGATGGTCAGTATAAGGAGGTGGGCAGCTGTGGAGGTTCTATTGTATTTTAAAAATCATAATCAGGCTTGGCGCCTGTGGCTCAAGTGGCTGGGGTGCCAGCCACATACACCTAGGGTGGCGGGTTTGAATCCAGCCCAGACCCGCCAAGCAACAATGACGGCTGCAACCAAAAAAAATAGCAGGG